TCCTGCCCCAACATGTTACCACACAGGTTAAATCCCCATCCCATCACAGCACATGCCCGCCAGCGTGCTCGTGAGGCCCACAGCTTCCCACAAACTCAGGGCTGGTACTCAGTCATCTCACCTGCCTCCAGTGGTGTTGTTTTCTCGTATGAGGAGGTGGGAGCTGTCATCTCATTAAAGCCAGCAGCGCTCTGCAACAGGAAATGAACGAATGCCCAGCTTGTTAGGCAAGGCCAGTGCTGAGACTCCCTGCTGAGTTTTGCGAGCTTTTTGTGACAGCGAGCTTTGTTCTCATCTGCCACAGCCCTGCGGAGGCTGCTGGCTGCAGCCCTGCCTTCCTGATGCCTCCCTGCACTGTGGGAGCGCCTGCTGCCCATCAGCCAAAGGCAAGGGCTGTTCTTGCTAGAGAGAGGTGGCACTCTGAGGGCTGAAAAGGCTACATGGAGCAGCAGCACAGCGGCAAGACAAGTGCTGCATAGGACAGCAAGGCTGGGCATTCAAGGCAGGAGTGCTCACTGGTAACACAGCAAAGAGCTGAGTGGATGCCTGGCAGTCTACTGCTTCCTAAGGTCCTGGGACCTGCTGTGTCGGCTCACTGTACCCCAGTGGCATGAGGCATGGAAGCACTTCCCAGCTGGATGCACAGCAGCAGCTGCCTAACGGTGAAAAGCACGTGTCCCTGCAGCAGGTCGCTGCCTGCAGTATGTGCCTAGAGCCATGTAGGTTGGAAAACGTCAAAGTGAGAATGCGTGTGAACATCTGAGATAACGCTGGCTTTATGAGGTGTGAAGAAATGGCTAAAGTGGCAATAGGATCGATGCACCAAAAATGAAGTGAGATAGACGGGGTTGATCTACCTTCATGAGAAACCGATTTCGTACAAAAAAGGAAACGGCAGGTGGGATCCAGCTTTCAGACTATATTTAGGGTTCTACCTGCAGGTGTCACCAACGGGCTGGGTGGCTGAGTTTCCAGTGGAGTCCAGAGAGCAGCTCTGCTCTCAGAGAAAACGCATCCGAGCAGGCAAACACCACTGCAGGCTCAGAACCAGCTCTACACAGACCACAGCAGAGTCCTGGACATGTTGTTTATATGACAGCATTTAAATTTAGGAGTCTTAGTGTGAGAGCTGAATCCTACACTTAGTTTTCAAAACTTTATGAACAGGAGATTAAGATTGCCTGGTGGTATATGATGCTCTGCTCTGAGGTGATGAATTCAGCACTACTTCAGTGCTTGAAAACCAGGCAATCAAGAACCTAGGTACTTGCTCGAATATTCTTATATTTACCATCTTTGACTATGCGTCAATATTCTCAAAATGCACAAATTCATGTTCCACTTTGAGCTTATCAGGAGGAATTGCTTATCCCCTTCCTTGCATCCTGTTACTCAAACAACCTGTGGTCTTGACTTTTTGCCCAGGTGCTCATCTGATTTTGCACTTTTTTTCTGCCACATACATGATGCCTTGTCTTTTGACAACACACCTCCATTTGCTGTTATTAAACTCAGAGGCCATACCAATCTCTTCCACATGCAGAATGTCATTCCTACTCTGTTACTGGCCCAGCCTATACATGCAGCATGAAAGGAACATGCTCAGTTGTTACAGGTATGTTTATGTCCTTCCTTAGCTCAGGGCCCTGCAAAATGGTCCTATTCTGCTTCCCCTGGTCCTGATCATGGTGATCTTGGTCCTGTACCAGGCACAACATTGTGCCACTAGCACCATGACCAGCAACAGAAAAGTATGGTTCAGGGAAGGTACCCTCACTTCCTCCTGGTGGACCTGGCAGTGCTGGGGTAACAGTTGGACTTGATGGTCTTAAAGGTCTTTTCCAATCTAAACCATTCTATGATCCTGTGATTCTCATCTTTTAGCTTATCCCCATCCGTACAGATCATCATACATTGGCAAGACCCCCTTTCCTGAACAAACTTGCAATGTAGCCTGCCAAAGCATAACTTTAAGTGCCTGAGAGAGTCTGCATTTTAACTGTAGATAAGCCTTTGCCTGGTTTCAGCACAGACAGAAAACTTGAACCAACAAATTGAATGATCTCTTCTCATGCAAGTTTGATCCCTGCCATTCCCATCCCAGCTGGGTTTTGTTAAGGTTTGCAGGCAGATGACTAGGCCATGACCTGAGATTTAGCTAACTGAACAGACCATAAGAAACTCCTGGACAGGACAGAAAAACTTGCAGAATTTAACAAATAACAGAGAAGTTGATGAGTTACAGCACCACAAGGAATGGCCAGACTTCATCAGTCGTGAAGGGGGAGTGATACGGAGCCAGTCACTCATGCACAAAGCCATACCAGCCTGTGAGTAATATAAGAGGATAATGAGCCAGACACCAGAGAGGCTATAGATCAGATATTGGAGAGACTGGGGACATCTGCAAGTTGGTACTTGAGAGGTCAAAGATGCAAGCCAGCTTCTGGGAAGCTTTGTTTATGTGTAGATGTGACAGCTGCTAACAAATCTTACTCCTTGAGTAACAATAGCTAGAGGAATGGCAGCCACGGTGATACCACCTTCTCGCTGGAGGTAGTCCAAGGCAAGAACCACTCTGTACACTTATGTATGATCGTCACCTGCCTGTCAGTGCTGGGGACATAACACCAGATGGGCCTTCAGTCTGATCCAGCACCTCTCCTGTGTAAGAGACAGATCCTGCACAATGCAACTGCCTGTGGTCTCTCAGACTTTTCACGAGGCTGCACTCTCACAAAATGTAGTCTCCAAGGAGCTATCATTGCTCATCCGGCTGTACTGGTACGCACAAGCCTGCAGGACTGATGGCGAGCCGCCAGACAGAACACTCTCTGTATCTCAGAGGGTACTAGACACCCAGGAAGGCACAGTGTGATGTCCTCAGAAAGCTCTTCCCTGGCTCTACTGTTGAAACCTGCCTCAAGAGAAAGCAGGTGTATGACAGTTCAGTCTCTGAGTGGATTGATTCAAAAGCATTTGATAATAGAAAAAGCTTTTTCTTCCTCGTGTTATGGTCTTCCCAGGCTGCATTTCTCTGCACCCTCTGGTGTTTACACTGGGCCAGTTTGCTCACCCTTGTAACAGCTGTGCACTGAGCAGTGGGACCCCACCTCCATCTGGGAAGTCTCTTCTCTTCCAGCAGTGCAAAGAGCAGTGATTAGCAGGAAGCAGTTGCAGTCTTACCTTATCTACTCTGTCCTTCTGGACCCCATAACGGCCTCCAAACCCCTGGGCATAGTCTGTATGGAAAAATGAGGCTATTTGTAATATGTTATATTTTGTGTGCACCTCTGACTTCAGTATGCTATGACCAGTGAAATGAGTTATCTTTGTCTGCATCTTATATACGTGTTAACCTTTTGAATGAACTTATGGTCAGGAATGTGCCTCAAAGAGGAAGTGCAGCATTGTCTGCGAATTCTGATTCAGAGACTTGCATTTGATGTTGACCACTGATCCAAGCATGCACCTACTCTGTCAGCATTTACCCTTGTGCTTTGAGGGTTCATAATATCCCAGCTGCTCCACAACATGCTGTACATATTCAATTTTGGAACACACACAAATAGGTCTGTGTGTGTTCCAAAGACGTCTCTGGCAGAATTGCCCTACCTGTTTGAGATGTATGTGGTTGCACTTCCTCCTGATGGTCCCAGCCGAGGGCACTCTTGTCCTGACGATCCTTTTGGACTCCAAACTTCCCACCAAAGCCCACAGAATAGTCTTCAGCCACAGGGATCCAGATCATGGCATGCAACAGGAGAGAAGTGATGGAAAGAGAAAAGTGGCAGCACTGTGATCTCAGGCCGTTCTCACAAAAGCAATAGTTCCCTCTGCCCAAGACTTAAGAGAAAGACATGGAGCAAAGCCAAATTTCCCCACTGGTGTCTGCAGCAACAGCCTTCCCTCCTCCCTGGGAGATGTCACCTGCTATTAGCACCTGCCCAAACTTCCCCCTTTGGTGACATACTGTCCAGGAGATCCCGGCACCCATAGAAATCTGTTGCTCCTCCAGCAGTCATGCACTGTGCAATGGCTTTCCTCACCTTGTCCTTGCTGCAAACAGTGGGCACCTGACAGCTCCCCATCATTTTTCCACCATTCATACAGTAAGTTGCAAAAACCACAGTCGCCTACAGCCCCAGCAGGCACAGTCCCAAGCACCAGTCCTGCCAGTGCACTCCTGACCAGCTCACCTTTCTGAGAGTCATGCTTCTCTGCCTGGCTCTTGTAGTCGAATCCCACTGCTGCCTTGTCCACCTTGTCCCTCTCCACACCGTAACGGCCACCAAAGCCCTTGGAATAATCTGAGGTGGGGTAAAGAGGGGAACCTCACTGAGGAGGAGCACTAGGGAGGAGGAAGAGCAGCAGCAACAGTAGAAAACACTATAAGGGAAGGGGTTTGGAGAGGACGGAGCAGATGGCAAAGAGCACCATGAGGGCCACTGAGGATAAGGGCCCCTAGGAATGGATCCAGAGGGCAAGTGTGAGTCATGGCAGCACGGGAGCTTGAGGGCTGTGGCCAGCAGGACACATGTCAGGCCAGTAGGACAAGGAAGAAAAGCAACATGCAAATAGTAGCTGGGGAGGAAGTGGGAGCTCAGTCACACAGGGACGTAAAGCTGAGGTAAGACTTGGGCACTGACAGGCTGGGCATCCACCCACTCACACATCTCCAGAGAAAGGTTTTCAACCTACGGTCTGTCAGTCTCTGAAAAGGTCTGTGAATAAGTACAATGAGCCTGTGAAAGTACAAAAGACCTGGCAAACTTCTTTTGTATGGCTTACCTTTGCTATAAAGGAATCTCAACTTCTGCAAGGAAACCACTGACTCTGGATGCTGCAGCAAAGACTGAGACCCACATTTCTGGACACATGCCCCATCTCTACTCTGTCTCTGGCACACTCAGCCACTATGTGATAGAGGCACAGCACATCTTCCTTAAGCCTCCCCTTTTCCCATCTTCTAAACTAGTTATGTATGAACCACTTCAGCTGTGTTCAGTTACTCTCTAAGGACTACCTTGCTATTATTGGCTGATGTCCCAAGAAATTTCAGCCTCTGTGCTAGCTGCTGTCTGTATAGAGACACTTCCCTTTCAGAGGTCTGGTCTGCCACCTCTGTTTCTAAACCCTACCCTTCAGAAGGAGTAAATCACAGTCACCTCTCTTTGTTCCTTGACCCTATTGTTACGGATCTGCATTTCACAGGAATGAGTCGGGGCTTCTCTAGCAATTTCAGCCTTATCAATCCATGAAGACTGTGATCTAGAGAAATATGCATGAAACCCTTTTGTATTCAAGAATGGGTCTCTGTTTCATAGAAGCTCACCCACTTAAGGATGAATACGTAAGTCCCAGACATTTTTTAAACTTATCTCAATTAAAGTATTATTTACCCATTAGGCCATTGTGAAATGGGCCTTTTAGGATGCTGTTTTGAGCAAATATATGTTTTTATGAATGATTGTTACCTTGGTGCAGGAGTTTCCAGTATGGACAGATTTTTGTGAAAAACAATCTAAACACCTTACCCTACTTCTAACATTTTCATTTTGTCCTAAGCTATTTCTATGGTTTTACACTACCTGATGAATTTCTATGGCTACAAGCTCTGATAAAGAAATAAGTTAATGTAGCACAGCAGTATGTGATATATTAAGATCAACCAAGAATGCCTCAAACATCTTCCTTCTTTTAGTTTCCTTTGAAACGAACATGATTCAGTTCTTCTTCTCTTGGTAATGCAGTATTTCTCACATTTATCTGAAAGCGTAAGAGATCCTGCCTTCATCTTCTTTTGGTTGCAGAATATTTGAAATATCTTTAATATCAGTTCTTGCAGTGGTCTTAATGAATATAGCTGCTTATATGTACATGTCAAAGTTTGGCTGAAACATCTCCAGAATTCTGCAAAAGTTTGGGTGCTGTATAAGCTTTTGTTTCTATATACATTGCTGTGCTTTTTCTTACATGACACTTTCAGAAATCACTTTTCATGTCCTACAGTGCTTGGGTTCCCTCTGGAGAAGTTGCTCAGAAGAACTTTTAGAGGAAAGCCATCCATCAGGGGTGCATGTGGGGGTGTCTTCTCTGCTTAGCCACGACACAGTTCCCATCAAAGCAAAAGACAGACAAGCGGAATGTGCAACAGAAGGGGGATGAGAGGACAGCAGGGTATGAGGCTGCAGGGGGGACTGACTGGGAACAGGAATCTGAAATAAGTGACGGGAGAGGGCTAACAAAGGAAACTGTGCCACAGAAGACATTGGATATTAGGAGCGGAAGAGAAGCTGGAGAAAGCGTCAAGAGGCCACACGTATGAACTTGCCTTTCTGGGATGAGTGTTTCTCCACCTCGCCCTTGTATTCAAAGCCCAGTGCTGACTGGAACAAGAAGGGGAGGAATGTCAGTCATTGTGAGGGCCAAGCTGGGTCTCACCCACCCTCCTCCAGGGGCCAGGCTGGGACCCTGCTCCCTGTGTTGTGCTGCAACACACCGGCACCTGGCCACTCCTCAGCTGGGACAGGCCTCCTCAGCCGCCCACAGCACCCCTGCTGCTCATGTGGCAGCATGCCCAGGAACAGACCCTCAAGAGAGCCCACACCCCCCAGGTTAGAGGGTCACAACTCTGACCCCACATCCTATCAGCAGGCAAGGTGGCTGGGCATTGTCTGACACCAGGATGTTCACATAGGGAGGGCATCCTGCTGTCCCCATCTAGTCCTGACACTGCAAGGCACAGCCTTGGGGTTTGGAGATGCAAAACATCACAGACCCCAGGACCAACACAGTGCTGCCTGGCCAGGACAGCACAAGCTCAGTAATGCACACCAGAGAGTTAATCACAAATATCCTGCAATTTGTCGTTGGTAATTGTCCTGCACCCAGGAGGTGAGCTGTGTGCTGCAGTGGAGACTGTGGTGCACGGTTTGCCTAGATCTGCACCCACCAGCCCTTTGAAAACCACAGCCACAATCCTAAATGTAGCACAGTGTTTTAGGGGCAGCACCGAGCACAAGTCACAAGCACATATTTCAGCTGCTCTGTCCAACACACCTTGTCAGCTCGGTCCCGCTGGACTCCATACTTTCCCCCAAAGCCCTGGGCTGCATCAGTCTGTGATGAGTGTTTCCCCACATCAGCAATGTACTCGTGGCCCACTGCACTCTGAGAAGAGAGACAGAACGACATGAGCACCTGTGGACAGACTGGCAGGGTGGACAGAGACACACTCCAGAGACTAAACGTTCATAGAATCATAGAATGGCTTAGGCTGACGTTTGCAACACCCTAGTAAGACCGGACAAAGGCCAAGTTGCTGCTCAACAAAAACATTCTCATTCTGCTCTGGCAGAAGGGTCTGAGCATGGCAGCTCCATTTTGGCCCCTTGGAAACGCCTGTTTCTCAGTCTGCTACCCTGATATCATGCATACCCACAGTGACCCCCATATGTTGAATACTACTGCAATCTTATCATTTCACTTCTGCAAATAAAGGAGTATTAAATGATGCAAGGTACAAGAAGAAGAGTGATTATGATTATCAGAAAATATAAAATAGATTTGATTTGAAACCAGAATATGAACTTGGGCTTCATGGTGGGAAGATATGATAGAGGTCTGTAATGGAGAATGTGAAGAGGGAATTACTATTCATTAGTTCTCCACGCACAAGTAGGGAGGCACCTAATTTAATTCTTATGAAACAGGTTTGAAACATGCCACAGAAAGTCCTTCACAGCTGCGGGGAAAGTGGCAAGGAAGTTGTAGAGACAAATTATACAAATGGGTTCAAATAGATCCTGAGGACAGAATATGGGCTAGCTAGACATGTGTGAATCTGCATAGCCATGCCAGCTTTCCTTTACGAGAAAAACACTTTTCCACTGGGGCCCAAGGAGGCTCTCTACAACTGTTACCTTATCCATCCGGTCTCTCTCTGTTCCAAATTTGCCCCCATAGCCATAGGAGGCCTTGGGGCCAGTCTCCAGCTCCTTCTTCTTGATGATCTCATGCTCCTCTGACACCTTGTTCCTCAGCTGATGGATACTGGTGAGACACAGAGAGTCAGGGCAAGTCACTGTGGGATTGTGCAGACCCATGCAGCCAGCTGAAGTACCGCTCTGTCACTGTGCCAGAGTCCAGCACAGAACAGGACATAAACCCACTGCCAGCTGTCACAGTGTGCCCACACTGGGCCTCTGCGTGGCGGCCACACACCCTCTGCGCGGTTATCAATACAGGCTGGGGGTTGATGTGCTAGAGAGCAGCCCCATGGAAAAGGACCTAGGGGTACTGGTGGATGAAAAGCTGGACATGAGGCAACGACGTGCAGCTCACAGCCCGGAAGGCCAATCCCATCCCAGGCTGCATCACAAGCAGTGCAGCCAGCAGAGCGAGAGGTGATTCTGCCCCTCTGCTCTGCTCTGGTGAGAGCCCACCTGCAGTTCCGCGTCCAGCTCCTGAGCCCTCAACACAAGGAGGACATGGACCTGTTGGAGCAGGTCCAGAGGGGGCTGCAAAAATGATCAAGGGGCTGAAGCACCTCTCCTACGAGGACAGGCTGAGAGAGTGGGTTCAGGCTGGAGAAGAGAAGGCTCTGGGGAGACCTTAGAGTGGGCTCCCAGTGCCTGAAGGGGCTACAGGAAAGCTGAGGAGGGTCTTTTTACAAGGGTGTGTAGCGACAGGACAGGGGCGATGGTTTTAAAAGAGAGCAGGGTAGATTTAGTTTTGAAACCAGGAAGAACCTCTTTGAGACGAGGATGGTGAGACCCTGGCATGGGTTGCCCAGAGAGGTGGTGGAG